AAGCATAAAAAGCTAAAAATAAAAAAATTGCAAAGCAAAGCAGAGCAAAAAACTTAAAAATTTCTTGAAGTTGCTTAAAGTCCCTTTGTGAGCTATTCTAATTCCCCTTGCTTAGTTAAATCGTCGGCCTGCATGGAGGCAACTTACTTTTTTTTCATTTGTTGAAAAGCATGGGAATATGGGATCATTGTATGTGAGGCTTGTTGTTGATTGATTTGTGTTGTGGAGAAGAAGTGATTGCTACTTGTTTTATTTGTTGATTGTTTTGATTTGCATTGTGCATGTGATAAGTGCTCAAATGTGATGTATTTTAGCACCTAAGCTAGGGTTTTTAATCTAATCATCTATCTTACTTTCATATTTTAGTACTTATTTGTGTTTTTGTCTATTTCAGGTCAATAAGGTTTAAACAAGCTAAAAAGAGCCTTTTAGCTCAGTTTTGGAGCTAAGGAAAAGACCCGAAAAAAGTCAGAAAAATTGCACTGAAGGAACTTTGATCGATCAAAGGAAGTTCCGATCGATCGAAGATATCTACAATCGATCGAGATCAAGATGGTGCCAGCTCAATGGATAAGGCTGCCAGGTGTGAAAATATCTTTGCCACATCAGCTTCGATCAATCGAAGCAAGTGTTGGATTGATCGAAGTTCTGTTCGATCGATCGAAATGACTACTGGCAGTGTGCTGTCTATTCCCGAGCGCGCCCGGATGCTTCTAACTTTTGTAACTGCGAATTTTCACCAATCAAATGCAGTATTTCTGACTCGTTGCCTACTCAAATAGGCTTGTATATAGATTAAATGAACCAGTTTGTATAAAGTTCATTTAGTTGATATTTTTACCAATTATAGAAATAGTTTCTCTATCTAGAACTAGGGTTTTTGGAAGAAAGCAAGGAGGAAGAAGATAATGCCAACCATGAAGACAACCCTTAAGGGTTCCATGGCCACTACAATGAATGGCTAAATCCTTCTCTTGGGGCTAGAGATAGCCCCTAGGCTTGCTTCCTAAACCTATCATTTTGTGATTTTTCTGGATTTTATTTGTAATTGATGTTTTGACCATGAATAAATATAGATCTTGTGTTTTTTACATGATTTATATGAATTAATGCTTTCAATTGATCATTTAATTCTATCCATATGTCTATGTATGCTAGAATGAATGTTTATGTGCTTTTCTCTAGATTTTATGAGTTTGATGCATGTCTATGTGTGTTGAAATTATAAATCTAGTGATGGTCAAGGCATAGTGCTTAATTGATTACAGTTGTCATTTGTTTGATAGATCATGCTTATTTCTTGATGGATTATGCTACTTCCTTAACTTAATTAGTTTAATTTTCATGTCATTAGCATAGTTGTAATGTAATTGCTTTAATTTCCTAGATAGGTGGACAATCCACTTTTGTCGTTTGTTATTTAATGATCCATGCTTATGAGTGCAAGTAGTACATTTCTCTAGATTTTTGTGTGTGCATTAATTATGGTTTAATTGAATGATTAATGGTCTTGTTTGATAGGTTGTGTTACTCACTAGATTGATTAGACAATCTATGCTTATTTGTCATCCATGCTTAGTTTTCAATTAATGACACACACACACAATTTACAATATGAATTTCCCCTTTAATTTACAATTGCTAGTGTTTGGTGAAATGAACTTAGTGGTGAACTCTAAGCCCCAAGACCTTTCTCTCATATTCTTTTCCCTAATTTCTAGATTGTCATTCAATTTGCATTGTTTTAATTAAACCATCAGTATAATTCAACCAACCATACCCTATTTGATCATTTGACCTACTAATCCAACATTAATTCCAGAATACCTTGCAAATCCCTTGGGACGATCCCTACTTACTCTTGCTACGTTAGTAGTTAGTAGTGGTAGTGGCATTTTACAAATTTAAACTTGGCCACAATCACACAATCAATTTTGGTGTGTATACGACCTTAGTCCATCACATGCATGGTCATATGTCTTTGAATCCTACTCTTGTCCCATTGAACCTTAATCTTGACTCATTTGTTCGTAATCTAAGAAGAAAGGGGTAATTCAAGTGAGTCCATTGCATCAATGGATGACCGTGTTGAAGACATTGGTAACATAGACTAACAAAGTATTCTTCACCCTAATGTGCAACAATAATATGACAATATGCAAGTTCCGTTAGGCATGCCTAGACCTTTTGTTCCACAACCATAAGACCAAGTTCCAATTGGAATGCCAAGGCCATTCTTTGTGCCACCTCCATCTCCTAATGTCTAAGCTAACAATGGAGCTCATGTAGAGCCACCAATTGTGAATCCTCCAATTGCTTTAAGAGATCACTAGATGCCTAATGAGTATAATGCACCTACGTGCATTCAACTTCCTCTATTTAAAGCACATTATTATGAAATCAAGCCACAAACCATTCAAATGCTTCCCAATTATCTTGGGCTACCTAATGAAGAACCATATAAGCATTTGGATGAATTTCTTGAAGTGTGTTCCACCGTAAAATATACGGATAGGCCAGAAGAAGTTTTGAGGTTAAAGCTCTTCTTATTCACCCTAAAAGATAAGGCAAAATATTGGTTTAACAATTTGAGACCTTTTTCTATAACTTTTTGGGTGGAAATGCAACAAGAGTTCTTGAGAAAGTACTATCCCGTGTCTAAAACCAATGCCATGAGAACTTCAATTCATGAATTTTCACAAGAAGATGGTGAAATGTTTCATAAAGCATGGGAATGGTTGAATGACTTATTTAAGAAATGTCCTCATCATGACATTCCTAAGTGGCAATTAGTTCAATATTTCTTTAAAAGTTTGTCGGATAACCATAAGGGCATGGTTGATGCCTCAATGGGAGGTTCCTATTTAGGCAAACATAAAGATGATGTGTGGCATTTATATGAGAGCATGAGTGAAAACTCAATGCACCGATCTTTCTTTTCTAAAAATGGTAGAAATATAGGTGGAAGGAAGAATTCAAGCTTATATCAAGTGGACAATTCTAATGACATAGTTGCTGAGGTGAAATCCTTAACTCAAAGGTTTGATCAATTTTTGATCAACCAAAATTTGGCCCATCAAGTGTTTTCCTACCCTAATCATCATCATCATTCCAATAAATCTTGCATGACTTGTTCTAGTGTGTTGCATTCTACTTCCAATTGTCTCCATGGACATATGCCTAGTGACCACCATGAACAAGTGAAACCACTTTTATGAATCAAGGGAATAATCCCTGTGGGAATCATTACAATCCCGAGCGGAGGAACAATCCAAATTTCTCTTGGAAAAGCCAAGAGGAAGGCTCAAACCCTCCCTAAGGTGGTTTCCAAAGCAAGTATGTTATGTCCCCTATGCAAAGTCAAGGTTCCCAAGGCTATCGTTCATCCTCCCAAGCACCAAATGGAAATCAATTTTCTAATTCTCATTTTCCAAATCAACCATCATATTCTTAAGGTAATTCAAGAAGTCCCGCATTTAAAGAGAAAGTTTTATTGGCCTTAGGTACTTTAGAGGTGAATACTCAATTGCTTCACTCTCATTCTCAATCAATTGCAAAGCTATAAACCCAAGTAGGGCAAATAGCTAGCACTTTGAATGCGAGAGAGAAATGAAAAATGCCTCTAAATCCCCCACCGAAGCAACAATTTGTTGTAGAGACCACTCCCCCTTCGGAAGGTCCTACGCTTGAACATGTAAATGCAGTGACCACTTTGAGAAGTGAAAATGTTATTGACAACCAAGTTGGTGAGTCTAATGAAGAGAGTAAATTGGTGCAACCTAGTGTTGACACCTGTCCTGTTTCACATCCTATTCTTCCTTTATTTATTGCAAATGACAAAGTTGTTGAGAATGTTTTTGAAAAATCTTTTAAGCCAAAGGCTCCATTTCCAGATGCTTTGAAAGCATCCACATCTTTTGAAAAGCAACAAAGTAAAATGAATGAAATCATTGATGCGTTTAGGCAAGTTAAAATCAATCTTCCTCTCTTGGATGCAATTCGACAAATTCTGGCTTATGCCAAGTTTTTAAAAGATCTATGCACTCTTAAGAGGAAAAACAAAAGCCAAGCACCTAGGAATGTTGTTCTTACCAAGCAAATGAGCTCTATCTTACAACACAACACTTTTCCTAAATACAAAGACCCTGGTTCACCCACTACTTCATGCACTACAGGTGACCATCTTATCAATCGGGCTCTTTTGGATTTAGGAGCAAGCACAAATCTTCTTCCCTATTCGGTTTATATCCAATTAGGCTTAGGTGAATTGAAACTGACGTCGGTAGTTTTTCAACTGGTCGACCGATCCATTAAAAAGCCCCAGGGTATTGTTGAAGATATTTTAATTAAGATTGACAAGTTCTTCTTCCCGATCGATTTCGTTGTCATTGACATAGAGCCAGTCCCAAATCCTAAGAGCCAAATACCCGTTATCCTTGGTCGTCCCTTCTTGGCTACCGCTAATGCCAACATCAATTGTAGGACGAGGATAATGAAGATCTCTTTTGGCCTCATGAAGGTGAAGTTGAATATTTTCAATCCAACCCCTAACTCAATAGACAAGCATGAAGACATTTATGTTATGGAAAAATGTTTTCAAAATGAAGTTCACAAAAATAAGTCCTTGCTTTGTGTTGAAAATTTAAATGGTTTGCCTTTAAAAGATTTTTCAAATGATGTCTTGAATTGTAGTATTGAAAGGGCATGGGAGCCAAAAAGTTTTGTTGATAAAAAACCGTCAATTTCACTTGAACCAAATCCAACAATTTCCTTAGGGAATGGTTTGTTGGGTGGGGTTCGAAGTTCCATTCACCCCGTTGAGAAGGGGATGTCTACCAAGATCTTTAATCCGAGCTAAAAGAGCCCAACGTCTTGCTAGAGACGTTAAAGACTAGTGCTTCGTAGGGTTTTCCAACCCTATTACTCCCTCATTTCTTGTTTTGTTATTTTCTACATCGTCTAGATATGATTTGAGTTGATAATTTCAGTTTCTGGGCAATTTCATGCATTTCCTGCATTTTCAGTGTTACTTCGATCGATCAACATTCAATTATGATTCTTCATCTTCCATTTCGATCGATCGAAGCAAGTGTTGGATTGATCGAAGATCTCTTCGATCGATTGAAAATGCGTCTTTTGAAATTCTGAGAATTGCTTTGATCATTGGGTTTCCAAACCCTAAATCATTTTATTTTTTTTTTTAATTTTTAATGTTATTTTTCTCTCTCCTCCTTTCTTTTCTTTTTCTTTATCCTTTTCTTTCTTTCTCTACCTCTTCGTCTTCCTCAACTCTCGGTGTTCTCTTTCTCCCCAAAACCCTCACCCTCTCAATCTCTAACCCTCTCATTCTCTAACCCTCTCATCTCTCCATATCTCTCTCGCACTCCAGCAAAGGAAGATGAACCAACCCAACCCTCACCATCTCTCTCGTATCTAGCGAAACCATCCCAAGACGAATCCAAGTCACTGATCTCTATTTTCGCCAGTGCGAAAGCTTTTTGGCCATACGGCCAAGCTTTCTCTTTCCCCTCGCCCTATTCTCCATCAAAAGTCTTTAAAATCTCGATTTCCGACCGATTTAGGCCAAGGAGGATTCGAATCCTCACTCCAGCAAGCTCTGCAATTTCCAGTCATCACTTCTGGCCACAGGTTGGCCGGAACACTCTTGGTTTCATCCCAAATTTTTCTTTTCATCTCCTCTTCCAATTCTTGAGCTGGGTATGTAGATATTCAATTTCTTTTTATTTTCTTTTATTTTTGATTTTTGTTCTTGTGTTATTTTTGCATTTTTTAGTTTTATTGTCCTTATTTTACATATATATTTGTACATATGTTTATGAAAAATGGAAAACAAATATAAAACTGAAAAATCATAAAAAAAATATATATATATATAGTACAAAATAAAATAAAATAATGATGATGAATGGATTATGGATAGAAAATAGAACTATGGACTGTGGATTTGTGTTGAGGAGGATGGGAAAAATCTGGAGTGTGGTTTGATTTGTAGTTTAGAAGGAGAACGGGCAAAATTTTAAATATGGATTTGTGTTTGTGAACGGTGTCCCTTGTGCTGTGTTTGGGAATTGATTGAATGTTTTGATTGATATATATATATATATGTTTGCTCTTTGTTGAAAATTTTGGAATGTTCATTTTTAAGGGGAACCATGCCGAATTTTTGAAAAATTAAACTTGAACTTTGATTTTAATTCTAAATGGCATTTGTTTTTTTTTTTTTTTTTCTTTGTGGACTTGAATTGAATTTGGAAATTGGGAAAGAACTTTAAAATTACATGTTTGAATTGAATTGAAATAGGAAAAATTTCAAATCTTTGGAAAATTATTTTGAAACTTCAAGTTGTAAATGGAATTTGAAATTTCTTGATTGAATTTGGGATTCGATTGTCATGTACTTGATATCTTTGCTTTGTGAATTGAAATAAAAGCTTGATTGTCACAAAGATTTTTGATTTTGAAAGTTTTGAAATGAAATGGTCACTTCTTGAATTTGAAAAATATCTTAAAAATTTTTTGAATTTGAAATGGCGTTGAAGTTGAAATGTTGTGAGCATAAAATCCCGAATTGTTTCATTTGTTCTGAGTATGAAATGCATGGATGTGTTTGATCTTAAGTTCTTTTGAATGCATGCAAGTATGACTTGATTTGAAACTTACTTTTGAAACTTGAAAATACAAAATCTTGTGTAATTTGCATGAATGAGTTTCAAATGGACTGTTTTGAAAGTTTTGATCTTAAATTGACTATAGCTCATGGTTAAGGTGCATGGTTTTGGTAAAATGATCATTAATTGCTTAAAAAGCTTTGTGATCACACTTGGTGGTTTCAAAAGGTTAAAAACGGAATTTTTGAACTTTGTTTTAAAAATGAGAAGTCGAGTTGCTTTTATACAATGCAATTGAATGTTTGGACCTCAAAGTTTTCAAAAATTCTAATTTTACCCCAAAAGTGTTGAAAATTTCAAAGTTGACCAATATGCCCTTGATTGAGTTGAAACTTGTTCCATTTGATTCCTCTCCATCCAAATGCATGTTCTAAGTGCTTTTGAACTTTTAAACTATCATTTGAAGTAAGTTTAGGAGTATGTTTGCTTTTTCTTAAAAATGACTGTTAAATTGCCATTTGCTAGATATTATCCTCTTATGATCCATTTCTGAAAAGCCAAGTAAGGGCTTGTGATCGAGGTTATTTTCGGTCCCGATCTTGATTCAAAAATGGTAAGTCTCTTGTTATTCTCAGTTGTTGATCATTCTTTGCTTCATTTAAGCTTTAAAGGGGGTCACAAGCTATAAGCGATCATTTTTCTGCTTATTTATTGCTTAAAGGGGTTCACGAGCCATGAGTGATCATAAGCTATTGATTTTGTTGAAAAGGAGTAAAGGATATTTCTTTGTCTGGAGTTTGTTGATATCTGTGCATCAATCAGATCTATACCATTTAGTTGTATACCATGTCTAGGATTCATTTTTGAACTTATATGCTATAACATGCCTTGGATTGAAGTGTTTTACAACCGTGCATTCCATTTAGTCTTTATTTCATAATATACATGCTTTTTGAGTTCTAGGTTGACATTTGCCTTATTTATAGTCTCCATGTTATCCTGCTTGCTCTACTGTTCTTAAATACTGAATTTGTAGACATTCTTGCTTAGGAATTGATACGATGTCATCCTAAGGTTTACTTGCCATGAAATTGCAAAATCTTCCTGAGTTTTAGGTTTGTGAATGCACGTTGCATCCTTTATGCACATCGCATCCTATATTTATCTTTTTGATCCCATTTTGCTCAAATATTTCCAAATGTGACTTTTATGCCCTCTATGTTATCATTGCATTGTCTTGCATACCTGAGATTGCTTATTGTGCCATGATCTATTCTTGTCCAGTTGAAGCATGTTGAATGATATTCTTGAAGCTATCTTGATCACTTATTGCATAAGCACGACCCTATTTGTCTATTTTCTGTTTCTACATGATTTAGGCTTGCTTTGTGTTTTCTTACCAAATGCTTGCCTTATTCAATATATGTGCACTGATTTATACTTGTTGCTTTTGCAGATATAGCGTAGGCAAAAGACTCTTGCTAGAAAAAGAGTACCCAAAGCTCTACAGCCTCCTCTATCTCTTGAGGTGGAATCATCATCTTTATCTTCTAAGGCTACCCCATCTGTATCAGCTCATTTAAAGCCATCTTTTATGGAGGCACAGGGTCCCATTATCCGAGCAGTGCCTACACAATTTTTCTCAAACAGGAAACTTGAGCCAAAGTACAGATTTGATAGAGACTTATTGATGAGCGCTGAAAAGTATGCATTTAAACCCCCTAAGCTTAGGTATTCTAAGACCTTTATTTATCTTACTTTCCCGCTTTAGACTAATTTCGTGTTATTATCCTTTTTAGGTGTTTATCCCTAAAATAAGCTAATTTAGCCAAATAAGAGCTTAAAAGAAGCTAACTAAAGCTGGATGGAAGAAATGAGCAAAGTGGAAGCAGAATGAAGCAAAGTGTGGAAATCAGCATGTTCGATCGATCGAAAGTTCATCGATCTAGACTCTCCAAGATGGATCCAAGCACTTTTGTCCTTATCTAAAGATCCCACAAAGTTCGATCGATCCAACAATTCTCAGATCGATCGAAAAGATTCCATCTTATCCTGTTGTACCACCCCACCTACCACTTTTGTCTCTCTCTCTAAAATATCTCAGATCTGTCCTTATCCAAAAAGGCACCGCCATGGGAGGATCGATCCAGCCAAAGTTTGATAGATCTCAGCTAAGTTCAATCGATCTCAGCATAGGTTCGATCGATTGAACCCTCTTAAGTGTGAATTAAATTAATTTCCAGATCATTAAAAGTTGTCTCATTGTGCAATCATTGGAGGAGCCCTTTTGTATGAGCCTAGATCATTGGGTGTAACATTTGAGCTTCCTATACAAGGATTATGAGCCACTTTTACAATGAGTTTTTTATGATATGCTTTTAGGAGTTGATAGATACAACATTTTGATTTTTTCTTAGAGAGGAAGAAAAGAGAAGAGGAGGCTAGAGACACATTCTTGGGAGGTCTTCCATCTAACTCAAGAAGAAGAGCATTTCTACCATAGAGATAACCCTTGAGGGTTGGAGGACACCATTCATGAGTGGCTAGACATCCTCTTGGGGCTAGAGTTAGCCCTAAGCATATTTTCTTTACCTCCATTTATATATTTTTGAGGGGATTTGTGTTGTAATACATATTTTGACATATTTTTATACATAGATCTTGTTTATTCAATGATTTGTGTGGCTTAATTCTTCCAATTGATTATTTCATTCTATCCATATGTCTATGTATGCTAGAATAGATGTTCATGTGTTTATCTCTATCTCTTGTGTTGTTGATGTATGTCTATGTGTGTTGATGCTACAGATCTAAAGATTGTCAAGGCATAGTGCTTAATAGAATGCTCTTATGGTTTATTTAATGGTTCATACTCATTTCTTGATGGATTGTGCCTCTCCCTTAGTTTAATTAGTTTAATTTTCATGTCATTAGCTTAGATGTAGTGTAGTTACCTTAGTTGTTAAATTGGAGGACAATCTATGCTTGTTGTTTGATGTTCCATACTTATGAATGCAAGTAGTATATTTCTCAAATTATGTGATGTGTTTGGATTGTGAGCTTAAAGGAAGGATTAATGGCTTAGTTTGATATATTGTGCTATTCATTGTGTTGTTTAGACAATATACACTTAATTGGTCATCCATGCTTGTTGAAACAACCACACACACTCACTATTGTTGTAACATATGTTTTCCCCCTCATTAATCATGAATTGAGTGTATAGAAAGGTGATGCTTAGTGGTGATCTCTAAGTCCCAAGACCTCTCTCTCTTGTTTTCTCTATCCTTTAATTACTTGTTTTATATTGAGCTTGTTTAATCTTAATTATAGTTTAATCAACCAAATAATCTACCTTTGATCACTCGACCTACTAACCCTAAGCATTGTTTCCGTTACTAATGCACCTACAATCCCTTGGGACGATCCCTATTCACCCTAGCTATATTTTTAGTCAGTGGTAGCAGTAACATTTATAAATGTAAAACTTGGCCACACTATTTTGCACAAATTTGGTTGCACCGCGACAGTCACACCACTTATTTGCCGGGTTGGAGCAGACCAAATGGTCTTTTGATGAGCTCACCCGTAGGGGCATCAATGCTATCATGACTCCAGAAAACACTATAGTCTATCCCTGGTTGGTTGTATTGTTCTTCCAGCACCTCCGGATGGAAGAGGACGACTGACAGTTAATGCATACAACCATTGACGGTCAGGACATTGACATTTCTATCCCTGCCATTACTACTGCCTACCGATGCCCCCATCTCTCTCCATTAGTCACTAACTCTGAGGATCCACAGTACCCTGCCATTCCTGTTTATCCCTCTGAGCTGATCATGGTTGCAACCTTATCTCCACACGCTGCCTATGAAGGCAATATATTTAGTGACCGGGTTGATATTGATCCCCGATACTGGTTTATAGACTCTGTGCTACACCTCAATGCCTTTCCTTCAGGCCATGGTACGCAGAGGCGAGAGGGGATTCTATAGGCACTATATTGTTTGACCTAGGGTTGCTGGATCTCCATTCTGGCTCTTATCTGGGAGATTTTTCACAAATACTAGGACAATCTAATCTTCAATCACAATGCCAGATCTGATGCTTGGCCTTTACCATTTGGCCACTTGATTACCCAGATCTTGATTGACAAGGGCTATCAGTTTGACCCAACAGAGATTCCAGAGCCTCCCGCACAGAGGGTTAGGAGGGTGTATGATATGGCAAAGTAGACAAAGACATTCAATTCCTCTACAAAAAATAAGAAGAATAGAGACAATAAAAGGAAGCAAGATCAGGAGAGAGCTGAGGAGGATGTAGCTGCGGAGAAGGCATCTCAGGGATCACCTCTTAGACAGCAGCGACCCACTACTACTTCCACATCTACTTCATAGCTAGATGTACCTCTTGTATCCTAGCAGGCCGGCCCCTCTCATGTTCCTCCTATAAAGCCGATGCCACTTGCCGACTCTCGATCCCATCTTGCCAGTTCAGACTCCAGCTGCCGATCTGATCTGATTCAGCTGCATACAGATTTCATTTCTTTCAGAGTTGATATGACTGGGTGGTACGAGGACATTACGAGCCATCATGATGATTTGGTGAGGAGGCACGATGATTTAGTCCGGCGATCTGATGATGTGAGGACAGACATTTTCGAGGCAGGAGAGATATTGCCACATTGCAGACAGACATTCAGATATCTCTCACTCGACATAGCTGGGAGATGTCAAATATGCTCCAAATCATTGCCGACATGATGGCACCGGATGTTGCACCTTAATTCCACCATTTTCTCTATCTTTATCTCTATTACTCAGGACCTGCTCTGATACACTGACATTTTGATACACTACTATTATTGGGATATTTTTGCACCGATTTGATATTTGGCCCTAATTTTGGATATTATTTTGCACTACATTGGATATATTTAGTTTTAGATATTGGTTTTAGACTTATGTTCATCTATGGATTTTTGGATTTTGATATCGGTTTTGGATATTCTGAGCTTTATATCGCTATATGCCATAATTTTTGCTCAGTTTTCAGTTTCACCTATCATTTATATCATTGATGCATATGCTTTGACAGTTGCTAGTGTGACCTGTAATGACCCGGTCATTTTTCTTTTTTTTTATTCTCTTAAATTTTATTGATAATTTTTTTCTGTTAATTTCTTTTTCTGAGTTTTCTTTTTCCATCATTTTTCATTGTTCTTTCATTTTGCGTAACCTAACGGGTCGTACTCGGATTTCATTTCGGCCTTGCATGCATTCATTTTACTTGATTTCCATGTGTTCCACATGTTTACTTTTGTAGAAAAACATGCTAAATGTTTACTTTTGCCCGTAGGGGTATAAATGCAAATATTCTTAAAAATTATTTTCTTTACTTGGGGTATTTTTTGTAATTATTTTTTGATAAAATTTTGTATTTAAGGTTCATTTAAATGTATCTTTTGATTGGCACCTCATTTTGGGCTTTTTGAAAATTTCACTTTTTGAGTTATTTAGTTGGGGGCATTTATGTAATTATGAAAAGTTTTTGAAAAAATTTCTCGTTTTGGGTTCAAACTTTCATGAGGGGTTTATTTTAACTTTTTATAGACTTTGGAACTTCCGGAATATTTTTTGAATTTTTATTTCATTTATTTTGAATTTTCTTTTATCGTTAGTCGTCAATCTTGTACGGGGCATAACTTTTCGCTCGGGGCTTGGTTTTTGACCCTATTTTTTCCGTTGATCTTAGAATTCCATTTTAAAACTTTTTTATTCATGGACCATTGTCATTTGAGTGCGTCTTCGCTGATTTCACTTTTTGGACCCAGACGGGACCCGTTCGGATTGTTCGGGACACCTTTTTGACCGATTAAGGGTTAATGGATGAGAGAGAAAGCATCTCTAACTTTTATTTCCTAAAGTAGCAGCAAAAGCCACCTATTCTAGAGCTTGAAAGCTGCCCTCTTCTCTATCCTCTTTTCATCTATTTCCTCTTTGATTTTCATCTTCGCGGTTTAGACTTTTTTGATCTCCTCGATGACGCAATCATTTCTATCCGATTAGTTTTCGATTTGAAGCACTCTGATTTTTGGGTTGGGAGTTCAAGCTTGGATTTGGGTTTTGTTTCTTGAAGGTTTCTTGCTCTCCTTGTTGTCCCCGCTAAAACTCTGAAGTTTCATCGCATTTTGTGAAGTTTAATTTTGGTGGGATTTGAGATTTTCATCTCAAAGTGAGTTTTATTTTGGGATTTGGTGTTTCATGTTTATAATCTTAATGTTTTACATGTTTTTGGGGTTTATATAACTTAGATGCATGTTTAAAGTTTAGATCTAGAAATAATTTTTATTTTAATTAAATGATGATTTAATTTCATAGTTGAAGTATGCTTAGATTTAATTAACAATATAATATTTGGAGAGCCCATGACTTGTAGTTCATCATATATTAATTTCGAAAATTTTGGATGACTTTTGAAATCTAGAGATTTTTAATTAATTAAGTTAATTAAAAATTAATTAAGTGTTATAGTAGCTTAATTAGACTTTTGATTTGATATTTAAATTCTTCATGATATATTGCTTATTATGTGTTAATTTCATGCCATTTGGTGATATTTTGATATCTTGAGGAATTAATTAATTTTTATTTTATTAGCTTCCATTTAATGAAATTATGATTTATTTACACCTTTGATGTTTTCAAGACCTAATATGTTATATGACATGATATTTGAGGACTTAGGGCATGTCTTGTGTGTTTTCACAATTTAATAGTGTATGATATTTGATTAAGTGCATGTAGTATATATGTATATACTTGTTGTGCACTATTTGTTGATTTTGGAAGCTTGGGGATGTCGTAAGATTGACTATGGCTAGGCTCAGCTCTAGTATAGGAGATTTGAGAGCCCTCTATTTTAGTTCGCACTTAAGAGCAAGCACCCACGGGTTAGTAACCCAAATGATGCTTGGTGTCGGTTTTATTTCGGCATGATGTCCAAGTTTTATTTTGTTTGATTTCGCATTTTGAATTCCAAGTTGTTTACTTTGTGAATAGATTTCATTATTTGGCATTTGAGGTTTAAATGTTGTTTAATTGCTTATATATTGTGGTTTATGATGTGGATGTTCTAATGTGACTTAGGATGATCCCTTAGTCTCATCTTGGACATAGACGTTAAGTGGCATAAACTACATGAATTGATTTATATCAACTTATAAAGACTTGCAAAACTTTAGGTTATACGCATGTTCATTTCCTACGAGTAACTTGTTTACTCACCCTCATTGTTTGGGACATTTTTCAGGTAAAGAGCCATGTTTTGGGGATGCACAACGTCCTTGAAACTTGCTTGTGGCTTAATGAGTTAGCGTATTTCCTTACATGCACTTACTAGCATGAATTTTGCTTTATTTTGGGTTAAATATGTCAAAACTTCTAGCTTCTATTTATGATATGTAATGAGTACCTAAATGCATCCTTTAAGACCTATTTGACATGTATGTGATGAGGCCAAGGGCCAAGAATCTTATGTTTTACCTTTATGCTATTTGACATTATGCTTAAAAATGTGAAAAAAGCGAAGCTTTAGTATGTCCATTTCATTTTGGTTGGTGGGAATTGTGTTTTATCACTTCTCCTAGTGT